ATAAGCAGTCACCGAGATGCCCTGAGAATGGCAGTAGTTAATCAGCTTCTCCTGGGACAGGTACGGGTGGCACTCCACCTGGGGGGGACAAACACACTGCTCTTGAAGAGATGCATGAAGAGGGGGCCTCTGCTCTCTGAAAGATGTTTCAGAGTTCTCTGATTTCTCTTCAGAAAGTGGACATGCCCTTGACTTCGGTGGTTTTCCCTTGTTGGTGCAACTGACTAGTACCTGAAGCAGAGCTGTTGCATTTTTGGGTTACTGATAGTTTTATACATTGTTAGCTTGACAAAGTGATGAGTCAGAATTAGAACTGAATTATGCCGACACCATATTTGTGGGGTAAGAAGACTTTAAAAGCTCCTAAACCAGGACAAAAAGCATCAGAAAAAAGGTTACCTATATGAATTAGGACTGCAGGTGTGTAATAAAAGAACCTTTCATTTTCATCAAGATATTCATTAACTGCTTAATGCAAAGACAGGTTTTGGAAGATACAGTAAAAAATTCTCTATCAAGTACTAATAAATGAAGCACAATAGTACATTTGTATGGCTGCAGTACTTATTTGGCATGATTCTGAAAGATAAATTCATTGTTGAACATATGAGACTTATTTGTTCTGTATCTATAGTGTATGGTGACTGAGGGCAGAAGGAGAATGGTGGCGTAATCTAATATACAGCATAATCAGACAAGCCAAGACACTGATGGCAAACGATGTTTCTGAAAAACAACAATAACAAACTAAATAAACAAATAAATAATAAGGTCAACTTGGGAAATTGGTCTAGTTTGAGGGCTAGACTGCTGTGGCCTATTATGAATCAAGACAACATTTCTTTCTTAGGCCTGAAAGGAGGAAACAAATAATGTCATTATGTCCTCTTGTCCTTTTAGCAGCACCAGTCTTGAAATGTATGCTTTCTTTTTGTTCAGCAACCTCGACTCTAGCACATTTAGACATAAAAAAAAAAACTTATGAAGTTTAAACAGCAGCTGGTCTCTGTATTTACCAGGTGGAATGATGTTATCTTTTTCTTTTACAAATGTGTATCAAGCACAAATGTCACTGCAAGGTGACTTTTCTTGGGTAAACAAGTCCTTGTTGTACCTGGTTGTTGGCAGGCTTGTACTTGAGACCAGGCTTGTTGAGAATGGCTTCAAGCTGATCCTTGTTAAAGTTGGAGACACCGATAGCTTTGACCAAACCAGTGTCCACCAGCTCCTCCATCCCCTGAAAAAAATTGACCACAACAAATATGTTCACTTGGCCGAGTTTAAGTTTAGCAATTGTGGCTCCTACATATCACCCAAACCTCTTGAAAATATAGCTACACTGTTCCTATTCATCTCACTGATCTCAGACTTTAAGGCTACTCTACCTAATTTCTTTTCAGGTGCTAGAGAGTCTAGTGAGACTCAAAACAAATTGACACCATAAACTGATATACTGTAAGTGGGCATTCTTGTCTGTTTAACTCACCTCCCATGTCTCCAGGAAGTGAGTATTGTCACTGATAGTCTCTCCTGTGCTGTCCAAAGGAAAGAGGTCACTGCCAGCCTGTAACATGACAAACAGATATCAGCCATAAGGGTTTATGCTATAATACAGAGGCCGACTCTTAGATGTAACAGCTAAATCTCTCACAGATAGCATAATAATCACACAGAAAACAGGGAGAATATAACAGTGTGCCTACCTTGAAACCCATGGGCCAGTGCATTAGATAGAGGTCCAAGTAGTCCAGTTTAAGATCACTGAGAGTCTTCTCACAGGCTTGTCTCACTAGGGACTTCGCATGAAACGTGCACCACAGCTATGAAATGAACAGACAGGGTATTCAGTGAACAATCATGCATGCTCAAAAATCCACTGACTGAAAATGACGTTTTCAGGCAACATTATTATGCATGTTTTTTGTGGGAGGAATAACAATAAGGACATGCATATGCATTTCATGCACTCCCAGCTCACCTTACTCACTATGAAAAGGTCCTCTCTCTTGACCACGCCATCCTTGATCATGGCCCATATACCTTCTCCCACCTCTGTCTCATTCTCGTAGGCATACGCTCCATCGATGTGCCTGTAACCCACTGAGATGGCTGCTTTCACAGCTTCTGCAACCGTACCAGCAGGAGACTAATAGACAGGAATGGTTTGTTATACAGAGTCAGCATAGTTTTGCAGCAGCTCTGTGTTCCTGAGACATAGCCTACTGCATCATAATAGCACCATGGTAAATATCTGGTTGTACACTTACGGTGTCACTATACAGACTGTGTTTGGTTAAATATTTTGCATGGTTTTGCTTCACATGCACATTGTGCAATAAAAGAAGGGTCCTTTGGGTAAGGAGTTCTAGTTCCTGATTCCTTTTCTCAGTTTTGTTCTTGGGACACAGCCAGAAGGTTTGTTGGGTTACACTTTAGCATCACCTCATCTGTTTTATTGCTGCTATTAAATGCCCAAATTATCAGATATTTTATAGCAGATATATACTGTAAAATAATAAACAGTAGATAATTAACAATAAACATTTTGAATCTGGAATAATAATGTTATCCATGTGGGGCAGCTGTGGCTCAGGAGGTAGAGTTGCTGTCCCCTAACCGGACAGTCAGCAGTTTGATTCCTGTTCTCCCCAGTCTACATGTCGAAGTATCCAGGGCAATACACTGAATCCCAAGTTGCTCCTGATGGCCAGAGCAGCGCCCTGCAGGAACAACAGCCCCATTGGTGTACTGGAGACAAATTCCCTGTGTGTGTAACTTGGCCAATAAATGTGACTATTATCATTGTGATTAAACAATGCTACTGTAGGCAGGGTGTTCTTTTCAGCGTATGCTTCATTCTTCTCCTCCAGACATGCCACTATACTGGAGCCAACTTTTCGTGTGCTTTGGGGTCAGTAGTGGTGCATGAAATCCTTCAGAGTTTAGTATGGGCCTTACTGTGTAAACAGTAACTGCAACAGTGCCTGTTGCCACCAAGTCTTGCTGCAGGTCTTTTGCAGTCACTCGAGGGGTTTTCACCAACTACCTCCTCAGAAATCTGGTTGTAGCTGTTCATAGCTTCCTTTTTCTGCCACATCCAGATAGTGTAGCAACTGTTCCTTTAACTATGAACTTGCAAACTATGCTTCCAACCCTGTCTCTAGGAACATTTAGTGCTTTCACTATCTTATTGTATGCTTTTTAGTAACATTCAGTGCCTTCACTATCTTATTGTATGCTTTTTCTTATTTGTGAAAGGCAATGATCTCTTAAGTTTTTTGACAATTCATTTGACATAGCCACGTTTCTAACATGCAGTCAATAAGTTGTATTTTGTGTTGAATCAGAAGAAACCACTTGTTACATTACTTGCGTTGATCTATTTCAATTGTTCTTGTTTCATTTGTTCATTGCAAACAACTGAAGGTTTGTACATTTTGCCAATACACTCAATTTGCAGTGAGGGTTGAATAAGTGTAAACGATTAGGATAAGTAGTCATTTGCTCCTAACATAAAGTAGAATAAAGTTTGTACACTGAGTTTAGTCTGTCTGCAAAGAAGCACAACCCAACCCGTGTAACTTGAGCTAACAACTTTGCACACCATGCACAGCTGCATGCTGTTAGAGCCAAGGTTGGTTCCGGTTCTATCCTTAAGTGACAAAAATGCCAGGCAATAATTACCTGTGAAACAACGCAATTACTAATGCATTTAAATTAATATAGAATAGTCGAGTAACTCACTTTCCATGTCCCCAGTCCAACTATGGGCATATGCGCACCAGTGTTCAGTTTCACTGTTGTTGCCATTTCTCCGAAAGATGAGTAGGTCCCGAATGTTTTATGAAAACAGCCAAGTCGACACAGTAACGTATGTTCAGAGCCCAGCAGCAGCAGATAGCCGTCTTCGTTGATCGATTAACGCCTTCATTTCATTTCTGAGCCACGGCTTCCAGCGCCACACCCACTTGTTATTCTGGATTTACAAGCAGCAGCATGTAGTCTGCAAAGTAGGACTGGATAAGTAGGACGAATGTAAAATAAATTAGTAGGCTACTCTCTAATGCCACTGGCATTAAGGTGATTGTTATTGCTGGATTTACAAGCACCAGCATGTAGTCTGCAAAGTAGGACTGGATAAGTAGGACGAAGGTAAAATAAATTAGTAGGCTACTCTCTAATGCCACTGGCATTAAGGTGATTGTTATTGCCGGGGATACAGTCATTTCATCAGCCAGTGTAACGTAACTAAGCACATTTATTCATTTATGAGCAAAGTGCTTGTACACTTGTACTTTTTAACATATTGATTTTAGTTTTCCAGTAACTATTGATAAACAAGCTATGCAAAATCATATAAAATACTGGAAATATAATGTTCAATGCTATAAATTGATTGCATTATGAAATATTTGGCTGATTTTGCAAGTTGTTTTAAACGTCTCCCAGTTACTCACAGGCACTTGAAGGGGCAAAGAGCCCCTACCTCTCTTTGGGTTACTGTTAATGTTTTTGTTAATTAAGCTTTTCAGCCACTAGAGGGCACCATTACCACACTTACTAAATATGTGAGACAGTCCTAAGAGTAACATAATCACAGACATTAACCAAATTTAGCCAGTAATTACAGATACTGAAATGACTCATCAGTATTGCTCAGTTTAGTTAAGGCTCTCAAAAACCTTATGCACACACACCCAATATCTGACTTAACTTTATTCATAAAAAAATACTCCTGGAATATTAACAAGGTATGCTCATTGTCCAGTATGTGGCATATGATGTAGGATTTTTTTTTAATGAATCTTTATTATTTTGACTAACTTGTGGCATAATTATTCCACCTGTAAAGGATATGCACTATTGTGAATGTGCACAGAGACCAGCCTTAAACCCCAAAAGACTGATGAAAGAGGGAACAAATACAAGGTGTCTTTTCTCTCTTTTTTTTTGTCAAAATCAGATAAAACCTCACAGACCTTTAACTGAGCCATTCAACACTCTGAGCAGAAGATAAGAGGGGGAGCAATATAAAAAACGTACAAAGGGAAAGTTATGGGAGCCAGCAGATACTGTGTACCTCACAATGGCTCTCGCTATAGTTTGTGTCTCTTCTGATCTTCTCCCAGCTGGACGTGAGCTTTTTAGGCCCCATCTCGTCTGATCTAACTTCAGACAGTAAGGGCCTTTTGCCAGTCTGCAAACTGTCAAAGTACCCCAGGATTCAAACACTGTCGCATGCAGTCATGATCAAAGACCCACAGGTAAACCAGACGACACAGCCACATACAATTTCTATCTAAAAGAGGAAAGGAAAGTTTTCATTTCAGAGGCTCTTATTTTGCATCTGCAAATACACTTTCACTCTACTAAGTGCATAGATTTGAAAGAAGGAAAAGACAAATGACAAAGCATTTGAAGCTACAACAGAGGCCCTGAGCAAAGCCAAGTGCCTCTCAAGGAAACTTTTGGACAAAGACTGTAGACTTAGGTGAGGTTTCAGTGTGTTACTTAAAGAGTTTAAAGAAAAAAGGAAGACACATCCATAGGCTGTGGACGGAGAGAGGATGGCGGTGTGACAAATAACTACACAGATCACAATTAGCTTCTTTCTATTTCCATTAAATGTGGTCATAATGAATCCTTAGTGCAGCTAGCTGGTGTTGTCCATTTGCTCTACACTGGATCAGACAAGCTGTTCCATCAGTAAGACCTGACCTGTAGAAATCAAACACCTCATTTCATTTCATGGCCTTTGCGCCAATCACCCTGGCTCTTTCTTTTTTCTACCTCGTGCCTCTCCCATTGGCTTTGCTGTCTTTTTCCTCTGTTTCTTGCCAGAGTGCCCTAGGTCATCTCCACCCATAAATCCAATGTCGAGTGACAGCTCCTGCTTAACTCGCTTACACACTTGCAATCCACAGATTCTGTCTATTGAACAATAACTACTGTAGATCAGGGAGCGAAAACCTTACATCATAAGTAATTCATTGTCACTGGCCAAGTGCATTACATGTTCTTTGATATGAGGGATTTTTCCAAGCTCATTTGAGACATCATGGAAAATAATACTTTGAAATAAAAATAATTCTACTAATATCTAGATTACTGTAGGTAGACAGTCTAACTTGAAACTATTAGTCCATAAATTTGTTAATTGTTCAACAATTTTAATAATTCATTCATTGTTTACATATTTTAAGCAAATTGAACTTTTTTAGTACTTTGTAACATTCTTTACACAAAATCACTGAATACTGAGCTTCCATAGGGATGCTCACCCAATATTCAGGACATTTAACTGTGTACTGATAGCTACTGTTTCTAAAGGGATTTTTCCATTATAGGAATCTACCAAAACATGTCGTGCTGAGTAACAGGTTCTGTGTTTGTTTCCACTACAGTGCACTAAATTTCAGCACCCCTCAGGAGGTAGTACTAAAATCGATTACCAGGAATGCGAGGGGAGGAGAGGTGTGTGCACGCAGAGCAGTCACCGGTGATTGGTTAAATTGGTCTGCATCTTCATACCTCAAGCACTAGCATTACAAGCACCATATGTAAACACACTGCTGACTGCATGTGTTAGAAGAGCAGCCCCTCCCACCTTTAAACAGAGACCGACAGAGAAAAAATATAGTGGAAAAACAAAGCAGGATGGTCCGTGCCAACTCTGGAAGCTATGCTTGGTGATGGTTAAGGGAAATACGGGGTATACCGCTCATTAGGTTCTGATAGTGGAAACACAGCATAAGTCAGTTTTGACAATGTAATATTTAACAGCTCAAGTCCCATACAGGCACACCGTCTGAAGCATAACCACTACAAATATGCACAACATCAGTATACTCTGGTGCACAATGTAACCAATTTTGGACAACAGAGGGCCTTAGTGCCATTGTTGTGTAAATGGTCACATAGCATTAAAATTGTGTTAGGCCTTGATTATGTGAACAAGGGAAACCAGAGAAAATTTTGCCACTACTGGAATAGCTCAGGCAGTTTATTAAGTTAATGTTGTGTAATGTACAGTGAACGTGAATGGGCCTGTACGCTAACTTAACCCTTCAGCATTTCCTGCATTCCTTTAATGTTTATTTCTTTACCTGAGTTTGAACCACATTACAGTCCATATCCTTCAAGATGCAGTGCTGATTTGTTTTCATTGCTAATGTGTTTTTAATAAGGAAAAAAGTTACACTACATGTTAGATAAAGACTGCAAGCTACTCCAAGTAAGAGAGGCAACAGCTGCATAAAATCAAAATTTTCTCATAACTGGTGTAAGTATCTGGTTTTGGTTTGACTGTTGTCTTGAACTGCATGTGCCAGAGACAGTGAAGGTACTCACTGAACCATAAAAAACTTGAATGTTGGGTAATGTCTCAGCAACAACTGGATGGAAATGCCATGAAATTTGGTCCAGACATTCATGTCCCCTTAACAACTGTAGTGATGTCTCCTAAATTTTCATCTTGATCAAATAAAACTTTGAGTTTATTCAATACTTTTGTTCATGACCAAATACCTAAAAACTAATATAATTGCCATGAGCGTCATCAGTATTTGGTGTTAGTGCTAGTTAGCAAGTGTTAGCATGATACTAAGGAGAACATAGTAAACATTATAGCTGTTAAACATAAGCATGCTGTCCCTGTGAGCATTAAGTACAGTCCCACATAGCTGCTGCCATGGCTGTAGACTCAATCTTATTGCTGACCAATACCAGTTATATCATTTTCAGGCATATCAGGTGATGTCAGCTGTGATAATGGAGTGTCTGATAACTGAGAAGCAAAAGAATGTACGTAGCTCATGTAAAAAAAAAAAAACTTTGCATGAAAGTTCTGTGAGACACAAAGAGTAAATGACAGTTAGCCAAAAGTTTTTCATCTTTCACCAACTTCATTCCAAGAATTGTTATTCTTCAATCTGCAGCAATTGAATAAATCGTTTTTATATTAATTAGGTTTATGCTCTTGTGAAAAACGTATTGTGACAAAGCTTTGTATGGACCAAAATATTCTAAGGTTTCAGGTTACAATTACAAATGATTATAACATTATTATTTCATAAAAATTAATGGGTGGAAATTTAGCTTTTAACTACCTAAATTATTATAGAATATAGATTTTTCTTTTTCTATTTTCCTATCTAGATCTTACAGATCTAGTCCAAGACATGCACACTGTTTCAGGTGTATGCACTTACTTGCATCCTGTCAATGCACACAGCCTTGGCCGGTCTGTGAGCAGAGGTTTCTCCTCTCTGGCCCCTCAGACATGGTTTGGTTTTTTTGGCTTGATTAACCACCTAGTTCTGTCTCTCAGACACAAGATTGCAGGGAAAAAGCAAGTAATGAAGTGCTTTTGAATTTGCATTCTTGAGAGCTTTCACAGACGCCTTGATTTCAGTCCGCCTTTGCTGTTTGTTCTTCGTCAAGAGATGTCTGCTATTTTAACGGTAACACGTAACAAGTGTCCATCCAACCTCCTCCATATTGCTCCCTCATCAACCTAACCGCCATGAATAAACACAATCAACATGCATCTGAAGGAGAATTTGGAAGCCTTTTCTCTCTAATCGTACCCGATGGGTTGTTCATCACTGTCATTATGCAGATTACAGAGTGTTCGTGAATACTATATCGGAGCCCTTTCCTCTGGAATGAAATGTCGCTGTTCCATAAAGCTGACCAAAAGCACTTGTGGGTTTTGTTCTTTTGAGTCAAGCCATGCCGATCAGGTATGGACAAACTGTCTCAAGAATATGATATTAACAGCATTCACCCTACACTTGAAAGTCAAACCTTTATTCTTTTGCAATGACCTTGACAACAATATTAAAGTGTAAATGTTGCATAATCAGCTGAGGTATCTGTTGTAACTTACCAAACAAGGACTGTGGTTGT